TATGATAATTTTATTAATAATTTTATATAATTAATTTTTAACTTTTTTGATTTCTTTTAATTTTTTTTGATTCTTTAAAATTTAATTTTATCTTTCATGTTAATAATAACAATTATTATTATTAATTATTCATATTTTTATTATCTTTTTTATTTGATTTACATATTTAAGTATTAAATTATGTTTGAATTATTAAGTACTTTGTATTTTAACTTTTAAACATTTTATTTTAGACTTATTTCATCGTCAAACAAATTTAACAATTTATTTTATGATATTTACATAATTTATATTTGTTTATATTAATTATATAAAAACACAAAAATTTGTTAGGATCTTACGATCTTATTTATGATCTTACGATTTACGATTTTATCTTTTCTTTTCGATTTTAAATAAAATCTCGATTTTAATAACCTTAGTTGATACAGCAGTAAGGGGGTTGAAGGAGCGAGGAATGGATGCTATCAAGTTGGAAGGAGGATCACCTTCGAGAATCATTGCTGCCAGAGCCATTGTTGAAGCTGGAATTGCAGTCATAGGACATGTGGGACTTACTCCTCAGGCAATTAGCGTGTTAGGGGGATTTAGGCCTCAAGGGAAAAATGTCTCCAGTGCTGTCAAGGTCTCCTCATTCTTTTTAAATTATAATTTATGTACTTGCATGAGTTTATGTTCTGTTGCACTGTTAATTTTTGTTGGTATATGCAGGTTGTGGAGACTGCACTGGCTTTGCAGGAAGCTGGATGTTTCTCGGTTGTTTAGAATGTGTTCCGCCACATGTGGCTGCTGCAGCCACATCTGCCCTTCGGATTCCTACAGTTGGTATTGGAGCTGGACCTTACTGTAGTGGACAGGTCAATTTTTGAATCTAGTTCTATTAGAATTTCTATTTTTTGCTTCTACTTGGGCTGGTCCATTTGCTGTCAAATTTATGCCATATCATGACAAAAAGGGAAATGGCCAAATGGGTATACAAATACAAAGCTATTTGGGTTGGTCCATTTAGTGTCAAAATTATGCCATATCATGACAAAAAGGGACATGTGTATACGAAGCTATCATGAAATTCCTTAGGAAATTTTATATTTTTGGTACATCGGAGGGTTAATTGCTTGGTATCACAGAGATTTTGAACCTTTGACCTTGATCCCAAATCAAGGTTTTTAAGTTAGTGGGTACTAACTCAACCAAACTCTTGTTGGTGAAATTCCTACAGTATGATAGTATGTAATTCTGCCTCAAGAGCTTAGCAGTCAGTAGGAAGAAGGTATATGGTTTGACGATTTATAGAAAGGACCAAAAACCAGAGTGTTTTGTTCAAATCTTTTAGGTCATGATAAATTTTGTTTGCATCCAACTTTTATTTAAATTGTTCGTCATATCTTGCTCTCTGTCTTATACTTAAATTGCGACCCTAATTTTCATTATTTTGGTGATAAAATCTTTGGGTTTATCTTCATCAGTTTTTAGAATATTTCAACAGGACGAGAAAATGCTTCTTCCTCATTTAAATATGCATCATAAACTCTTACCATGGTGTTATAGAATCTAGTTTTAAGAGGTTGCATTTTCATGTCAGGCTTATTATGTAATAATGCATGCTTGTCTATTTCCATTTTAATACAGGTAGTTTTGATAATATAGGTACTTGTTTACCATGATCTATTGGGAATGCTTCAACACCCGCATCATGCCAAGGTTAGCTTCATGTTCCTTCACTCTGGTATATCAATTCTTTCTTTCTATGAAATTAGTTTCCTCAAAAAACGATTCCTTTGTCTTCTACAGGTCACCCCAAAGTTCTGCAAGCAGTATGCTCGTGTTGGAGATGTCATCAATAAAGCCCTATCCGAGTACAAGGAAGAAGTAACAAACGGCTGATTTCCTGGTCCTGCTCACAGTCCTTATAAAATCAGTGCTGCTGAAGTGGATGGGTTCTTAAACGAGTTATAAAAGATGGGATTGGACAAGGCACAGCATCTGCAGCAGCTGTCGCAGCCGAGAAGCTGGACACAAAAGAATCACCTGCAAATGACTGAAAAAGAAGCATGTCTGGCATATGCCTCTCTTAGGTTTAATCAAATGACGAGATGTTAGGTAGCGCACCAATTTTCACTTGAAATTGGTCTTGGTATCTGAAAAATGAACAAGGAGTGAAAGCAAAATATACAGCTTTCTTCATTTTCGTCACAAATTGTACTTGTTTAATTTAGAAAAAATAAATGGCACCTCAATGTTGAGTTCTTAGCCAAAAATCAAGTACTTATTCCTAACAAAGGAATGTTACATGTTAGTTTTTTATTTGTTTATTTTAAAATTAAAATCAGAAATTTTTTTAATTTAACATTTCAGATTTTTTTTTTTAAAGTGACAATTATTAACTAGGAGTACATGATAGACAAATTAATAAATAAATAATATCAACTTTTTTACCCACTACTAATTAGTTTGAAGGTTGGATAATTTTTTTTCAAATATAAATTAAAAAATGTCATATATAAAATAAGAGTATTCGTAATTCTGGCACTGAATATGTTATCAATGGATTGTATTCATTATTTCTTAGGATCAGTGGATGTCCAACTCGTATATTTGATTTTTTTTTTTTTCCCTCAAATTTAGATGTGCCTCTCATGTTTCTCTCCAGACGGCAATAAAGGACTATAATGATGAAGCTAGTTGTTGATGCTAAGGCGGATAAAGTGCTTGGGGTATTCAAGTGTGGGCCGGATGCACATGAGATTATGCATCCTGCTACCTCAAAAATCATTTTTAGCCAATCAGAGCATCCCTTTATTTAGGTATGATTGGTACACTAATTTTTTTCCCTCTAGAGATTTTTCCTTCAATAAGAAAAAAAAAATTCACTAATTCCCCATCAATTCAGCATTGGCCCATTGGACTTTCTCTTTCTTTTTCCGGTCCAATTCGGACTCCCCTTTAGCCCCTATCAAAATAACAGCTTCTCTTTATAGGCTTAGCCCAATAAAATAAAATTTTTGGGCCATAACAGAACTTTCCCTGCGCTATCTTAACTAGAGGTGAGCATTTTGAAAATAGTTTGAATATGAGTTACATTTTATATTTGATTTAAAAATTTTTAAGTATATATTTTTAAATTTAGCGATTACTCAAATACTAAAAGATTTATACTTAGTATTAATACGTATCAGATAATTTGCAAGTATATACTAGTGTACTTAGCTTAGGAAAAGGAGATTTTGTAAGAATTCTTATTGTCACATTTGTAATATGTGACTTAAAATTTGTTATTTATTGCTATTATTGAGAGTATAATTTGTTTGACTTACCAAGCTTACTTAACTTTAATTTTTACTTTTTTATTTTATT